TGCTCTAACTTTTTTTTATTACTTCCTCCGTCCCACTTTGATAGTCTTGTTTTTCTTTTTTGTCTGTCCCAAATTGTAGTCCATTTTTCCATTAAAAAATGTAGTAATATTTCAAATTGTCTAAAATACCCTTATTAAATATCTTGTTATTAATACATTATTATTAAATACTAACCCACTACACTGAATACATTGACCTTTTCCAATACTAACCCATTAGCTGTAACTGATATTAATTGGCACTCTTCGTGATTAGCATAAGGGTATTTTAGGGAATTATTAATCTAAATTTATGATTCCAACCAAATTAATTACACCTTTTTAATCAGTGTGAAAAAAAAACCAAAACTAACAAAACGGGACGGAGGGAGTAAAAAACACTCATTTATTGTCCCCGCATTTGGTAAAAGCTTTCATTCAACTTCTGAGACAACCCTATTGCGCTCCATACAAATTTTTTTTAAAAAAAAAATTGTGAAACTGATAACATGCAAAAAATTAGAAATAAAGAGATGCAAATTAATCAAGCTTTGTGAATCAATTCATTCGCAAATCCCAATCAGAGGCAACTTGGAACTTGGAAAATGGGTCGTCACTCCTTTGGTATCTGGACATTTTACAACGAAGATAAGTTGTGAGCACAACCTCCGTCTCTAACAGTCATTGAAAGGGTTTAGGGAATTAGAGGAGGAACGGCGTTAGAAATTGGGGTTTAGGGGATGGTGCGGGGCTTCTGCAATTCAATACATTATTATATACGGAATCGATATCTCTTTTTTGGATAGTTGATATTATTCTGACAAGTATGCAATGCATTGTTATACACGGAATCAATATTTCGTTTTTTGGATAGTTCATATTATTCTGATGACTAAAGAACAATTTGGAAGGAAAATCAAGTATTTATGAAAATTCTAAAACAAAAAGCCCTAAAAAAAAAAAAAGAAAATCTTCTGAAAATAGCACCATATCCAATTCCAGAAAATACATATAGTTCTTATTCAAACTTACAATTTTCCAAACTAAATGAATAAAAATGGTAAGTAATAAGGAAAGATAATAAAAGAGATCTTTACAATGAATTGCACCTAAGGCTCAAGATAGGTGAGACCAGAAGAAGAATGGTAACTTCCTTATAAAAATTGAAACTAGAATCCCGAAACAAAAACAAGGATTTTACAAGGATTTTATAGCTCACTCGTGAGGAATCCTTTTATTGTGCCCATTTTACAGATTATTTTTTTATCTGTCTTCTTCCTTGACTTATTTAACTATTTCAAATATAAAGTATAGTGCAATGGTGCACATTGAAATAAATAAATATAACATATGTAGACAAACACACCAACTAGACATTGAAATAAGTATATATAACATATATACACTAACACATCAATGTCTATATATTTAAACTAGTATTTTGATCCATGCTATATACGGATTTATATTTTGACTAAAAGAATAATATAATTTCGTAACAATTTATTTGAAAAAGTCCAAAAGGTTCAAAGTGGTGTTAATTTTTGAGCCAATTTGTACACTCAATCTGTTTTTATAAATAAAAGCATCAAAAAACATCTCCACAAATGGAAGGTCTACACTAATCAATGGAAAAAAAAAACTAGAAATTGTTTTCAACTGATTTTTATAATTTCATGTTGTTTCTCTTATTATTGAAAAATACCTTGTTGTACCCTAAAAATCCAATATATTCTTAAAATATCTATGAATAGTAGAAAAAAAAAAGAAATCATTTTTTTCAACGACTACATTTTTCATAAAAAAATTCCAAAAACACCCAAAATAAACTAAAAAATCCACAAAAAAACTAAAAATACACAATTTCCTTTCACACATCATGACCTTCCCTTCCATTCTCCTTGCTTTGTATCCCCACCTAACCACCCTTCCCTTCACACATACAGACACACATCATGACCTTTCCTTCCATTTCCTTAGCTCTCTGTTGTCTATCCCATCTTGTAATTGCATTTTTCGTACTGCTCTTTCCTTCTTTCCACCATACTTCCCTTAACTTGTAGCATCACCTCCAACATTCTCTGTCGCCACTAATATTCGCCTCCATCTATTACCTCTTTTACACTGTAACTCTACTTTTCTCCCTCCTTGCAATCCTTCCTCTATCTTGCAAGCGCCACCTCCTCCATTTCCTATTCAAGAGTCTCATACTCCTACCTATCCTCATATGCTTACCAGTCTCTTCTCTCACCCCGTCCTGTCAATCCTACAGCTAACCACCTTCTCGATTATAAATCGTCCTCCCTAACCTCCATTATTACTCATCCTGTTCCTGAATCGCTGCGTTACTTTCGAGACATTTTTGAACAAACTCAAGGATGAAATCATCATTTATGTTCATATAAGAAAAAATTAATTCGCCTTAAAGATCACCCTTGTTATAAGATTATTATATTGGACATATTCCGAAACAAAATTATTTTGAGCACATGCTATACAACAACAATGTAAGAAAGAAAAGCGAAAGAAAAACTCACACGTTATATTTCAGTTTCAGTTCATTTATCATATTTTCTTTTAGCATTGAAATGGCATTTATTTTTTCTTCATAATTATTCAAATTTATAATGGTTAGGTTAAAAAAGAGACTAAAGTTCTACTTTTATTTGGTACGAACCATATTTGGTTTAAAGGTAAGCTAATTTCATTTTGGTTCTATTTCATTATGCTACAGATTAAATTGATTTTTTAAATCTCCTTTATTTATTCGATCAGTGTTATATATACTGTTAATATAAAAATTTTTATACTAATAGATATATGACACATAGATAAAATGCAAATTTAAAATTTGAACAGTGATGATGTGGTATTCATTTAAACTTGCTTGTGTAAAAAAAACTTTACATTGACAATGTATAAATATTAATCCCTTATTTATTATGGAATATGCAGTCTAGTTGGGTTGCATTAGTAGATCTAAAAAAAATGAAATAGATATAAGATCTAATATAGATATTAAAATTTTTGGATTTGTTTTATATGTGTATAGCAAAACAAAAAAGGAATAATTTTCCTTATGCTCAATAGCTAGATTAATAAAGTGAAAAAAAATTAGATTTGAAACTCCCTGCTCTTTAGTCTCTGCCTAGCCCGTTATTTATAGGCACATTTACGGTTGACAAGACCCAACCGTTGGTCTGATAAGAACATCCACGAAATCAGGACCCCGCTAAGAATAAGGGCTGAGTTGGCTGGTAACCGCCAGCTACTCCCAGCAACTGCTAGCAACGGTCAGCCACTGCCCAACGTTCATCTTTGGCGCGCACAGGCAATCGCCGCACAATTCCGCGCGCCCCGTTTCCCGCCATCGGCAACGTTCCGCGCCCAACTTGCCCCAACACTTGGCCATGCTTGGATTGCTTGTTTCCGTCGGAAAATATTGTCATTTTCCGTGATCACATTTTCCTATCACATTTTTTCCTCACATATATAAAATCGCTACAGTAATATATAGCAATCTTAGGCACCGTGGTTCCCCACACTTGGAACCACCCAAAACATCCCACCGAGCCATAGTCATTCCGAGACCTTGGTCCCTAGCCCTTGGCCTTGACTTAACTTAGTCACAGTTATCCCTCTATATATATGTCTTAAGAGAAAACTTCCAATCATTAGTAGGGGCACCCCTTTTTCCCTAACTAACTTAGAGACATCTGATATCTCTAAACTTTCCCCAACCCATACTTAGGCTAGGAAAACATCATTAAACACTGATCCACTCGTTTCCAACAAACTTCACCTTCGGCCTTCCCACCTAGGTTATGGCTGGCCAAACTTGGCCACGGCTAGGGTAAAGCTTATAGATTATGTTTTACAGTTCATTTTCATAATTTCTTTTAGCATAGATTTTAATTTGTAAAAGTTAGGCAAAAAGACGAACTAAAATTACGATTATTTGATATAAATCATAGTTAGTTCAACAATAAGCTAATCATATGTTGTTTTTATTCTATTTGGTAACTGATTGAATGGGTTTCTTTAATCTCCTTTATTTATTTTGAAAAATATGGGCCCATTTGGATTTCATTAGTAAATCTTTCCTTGTCCGCTTTCAAAAATCTTCAATTTTAAGTAGTCTATTAGGTTATGGAATCATCACATTTTAGGTAAATTGTAAGAAGTAATGAATGCTAAGTATTTAGTACCCATTTAAAATGTTTATAGAGATTTATTGTATATAAAAAAATTCAAAATTGTAAGAAGAAAGGATTGAGAATAGGAAGCTTCAAGATTTGCCATAGGTGAAAACATCTCTCATAATACATACATATATAAATGCATACATATTATATACATACAAATATACATATACATACATATATATATGTGTGTATATGTACATATATGTGTGTACATGTATATGTATATATATGTATATATATATATATATATATACACGTATGTGTATTAGAATGTGTACATGCTAGCTTAAATTTCGAGTAAGTTCCCTTCTTCCTCGGTACGTATTTAGCTACTTCCTTCTCACCTATAGTTTCCTTGTTAAATATATATCTATGCGTGTATTAGAATATGTACAGGCCACAGCTAAAATTTCGAGCATGTTCCCTTCTTCCTCGGTTCGTATCTAGCTGTATCCTTCTCACCTATAATTTCCTTGTTAGATAAGTAAGAAGCACCGCGATTAAATCTCTTTATTTTTATTTTCTCATTTTTGTACTTTTTATCCAATCACAACTTCCAATTATTTTCTTTAGTCTTTTTTTTTTTTTTGAAATTAGGCTGGCCAAAACTAACCTTTTGATTGCGGCAGTGCCCTTCTGTCATTCTTAAACTACCGTCCTTTTGTCTTTCTTTAGGGTTTATCTCAAAGTGGCCTCTGATCTGTCACTCTCAAACTATTACCTCTAGCTTATATACAGATAGCTCCCAAGATCTCACTATACATATCTACAATATCTTTTCAAGATTTTCTTCTCCCCTTCTGCTAATCTTCACCGATGGAGGAAAATAAAAACAGTAATCTTGGAAAAGAAAAGCAATCCAGATTAGTCGAGGAAGAGAAGAATCATCATGAATCAAAGACTAATCCTGTTTCCATGGATGGAAAGCTGCTAGTGAAGCTGAAATTTCCCAAAGGCGCCGAAGAAACTGAAGAGGGGCTGAGGTGGTAGTTAGCCCTGTTAAGAAGAGTCACTTCTGCCATGAATGCAACAAAGGTTTTAGCTCTGGGAAGGCTCTTGGAGGTCATATGAGCAGTGCTCATGTTCAGGCAAGGGAGAACCTCAAGAAGCTAAAATTCAATAAGTCCGTCAAGTTTAAGAGAGATGGATCTAGTTCTGATGCTGCTGCAAGAGAAACTATTTGCTCAATCTGTGGAAAAGATTTTCCATCAAGGAAGTCTTTGTTTGGACATATGAGATGCCATCCTGATAGAGAGTGGAGGGGCATGGAGCCTCCCAAAGAACAAGGAAAGATCCCTCGTGAACATCCTCAATCTTTATCTATTCTTGATGATGATGATGATGAGGAGGAGGAGGCAGAAGAAGAGGAGTCCTTGGAGACGATAATCAGGCTGATTATCATGTTCATGTGGCGGCTGATAACGTAGCAATTTCCACCGTTGCAGCAGAAGTGGTTGATTTAACCAGGTCTTTGAGCAGCTGGTCGGTGAAGGGCAAGCGAGGCCGCGAATGCCCTAGAGTTCTTCTGGATACTTATCCTTATTGTGAGGAAGAAGAGCAGAAGATACAGGATGCTGTAGATCAGCTAATTAGCCTAGCTTACAAACAGAACAAACATGATGGTTCGTCGACCAGGAGAGGTCAAATCAAGGAGGGTAGGAATAGTGCTTCTGGCTTGAAAAAGAAAAGGGTTGATGATCCAGTCCATCCAGCTAGAGTTAGAACGGATTATCCTGTGAAGAAACGACGATTTAGTGAAATAGACACAGATTCTGAAGAAACCGTTGATGGACTATCGGACAAAGGTAAAAGAAAAGATCCAATGAAGCCTGAATCGAGTGTTGAAATATCACCAAGTAGTCAATCCAGGCATACTGTAATAGGTAAAATATCTGGTAGGAGCAATCATTTCTCAGCTCATGAATTGGATAAGATGGAACTTGAGAAGCAAAATCATTGTTTCTATGATGATTGTAAGAAGGGTAATGTGGGGGTCAAGAACAAGAGAAGGGGGCCAAAGACGACACCCAAGAATTCAGAAACTGAAGTGGAACTTACCCCTCTAGATCAGAAGCTGGATGGTGAAGAGAGTACCCCAGAAAAGTTTAGGTGCAGCACTTGTGACAAGACTTTCTCGTCTCACCAGGCTCTTGGTGGTCATAGGTCAAGTCACAACAAGTTCAAGGCAACGGTTCAGAACACTGCTGATGGATCTTCTCCGTTTCCTTTTGGACACGAAAATCGTGCTAATCTTGTCTCCCAAACTGCTGTTGAAAATGATGAAATTAAAGGGGTAGAGGCTTCAAAGTTTGCAGAAAATATTCATGAATGCACACTCTGCAAGAAAACTTTCCCTTCCGGTCAAGCACTTGGGGGTCACAAGAGGTGCCACTGGCAAAGTTTATCAAGCCAAGTTGCTTCTCCAGAAGCAGAAGAACCTCGCCCATTGGTCAGAAAAGGTTTGCAATTTGATCTGAATGAGCCAGCAGAAGAAGAAGATGCAAATGCAAGTGACTTGGGAAATTCTAGTGGATATGCTTCTTGCTCCTAACATTATGTGCTTAGTTACCCTAAATCAATTCCATGTTCTTCAGCCCCAGCTAGGCCTTAGTTTTCATTTGATTAATTTTGCTCTCTTTTTTTTGGTCTTTTTTTTAAGTACATTAGAGCAATGGCTGGCAGTGGAATTAATTGATTGTCTTTTGTGTTCTTAGTGTATTAAAGGTTTTTTTTTTCCCTCAACCTTTAGACGCTGCAAATGAATGTGATTTATGTTTCATGACATCGTTGTATTTAGCTGGTGATGTTAGTGATGGAGCCAGGATTTTTTTTCTAGGGGGTCAAAATTCAAAATAATTTCCATCTATTTCAATATATGACATCTAAAAAAATCAACTATTAATTTTAATTATACATATATATATATATATATAAGCTCTCATAATAAAAACTAAAATTGAAAAAAATTAGGGGGACCAACTTTGTTTTACGCATATATTTACACATCATAAATTAAAATTTTCAAAATTTAGGAGGGAATATGGCCCCACCAGCCCCTCTTAGTTCCGTCATTGATGATGTACAAGAAAGACTTTGGCAGATGTTAGAAGTCTACTTTTGTGTGGACAAAAGGGGATAAAGGTGCAATTTGGTTAAAACTCTATAATACAGATAATTAACTTGATACTTATTTACTTCTACAAGGTTCATGAATATTGCGCTTCAAAAGGGAATATTCACTAATAGCTCAGAGGTATTTCCGGTTCCAACATCAGACGGAATTATCTAGAATGCTGTGTTGAAATAGTTAAAAATGAAAAAAAAATTGTAGAAATAGCTCAAGCACTTTCTTTTTTAATACATGAGAGTATCAAATTTCATTTAAAAGATGGAGACTCAAAATTCCGATCAGGAATCTCTCTCGCATGTCCCATCATTAGATAGTCTTATTTTGTTTGAGTTTTCTCTGGAGTTGGGGTTTAATTCATAACACCAACACATATTGAAATGTTGTGATGATATTAGGCTAAATTCCACTTTGCACCTTTAAACTACATAGGCACTCTCATTTCAGTCCTTGAGTTTTAATTTCAGATAATTTATCTCTTGAAGGATAAAATTTATCTCACTTTAGTTCTTAAAGTTTAAATTTGATATTTAGACACTTTACATCCTAAAGTATGAAATCCGTTCTACAGAATTATCAACATTATTGTAATAGCAGGCAAGTGAATCTTTCCTTGTCTGCTTTTCAAAATTTTTAATTTTAAGTAGTCTATTAGTTTATTGAATCATCACATTTTAGATAAATTGTAAGAAGTAATGAATGCTAAGTATTTAGTATCCATTTAAAATGTTTATAGAGATTTATTTTACATAAAATAATTCAAAATTATATGAAGAAAGGATTGAGAGTAGGAAGCTTCAAGATTTGCCAAAGGTGAAAACATCTCTTCAAATACATACAGACATAAATGCACACATATTATATGCATATAGATAGATATATATATATATATATATATATATATATATATATATATATATATATATATATATATATATATATATGAATATGTATATATGCATGCATATGTATAGTATATGTATATATGTATTTATACACAGTTTGTGTATTAGAATGTGTACATGCTGGCTAAATATGCAAGCAGGTTCCCTTCTTTCTCGGTTCGTACTTAGCTATATAAACACACACATGTATGTGTGTGTATTATAATGTGTACATGCTAGCTAAAATTTCAAGCAAGTTCCCTTCTTCCTGCGTTCGTATTTAGCTACATCCTTCCCACCTATCGTTTCCATGTTAGATAAGTTAGAAGCACCGCGAATGAATCTCTTTTATTTTTATTTTCTGATTTTAGGCTTGCCAAAACTCACCTTTTAATTGCGGCAGTGCCCTTCTGTCAATCTAAAACCACTGTCCCTTTTGTCTTTCTTTAGGGTTTATCTCAAAGTGGCCTCTGATCTGTCACTCTCAAACTATTACCTCTAGCTTATATACAGATAGCTCCCAAGATCTCACTATAATCATCTACAATATCTTTTCAAGATTTTCTTCTCCCCTTCTGCTAATCTTCACCGATGGAGGAAAATAAAAACAGTAATCTTGGAAAAGAAAAGCAATCCGGATCAGTGGAGGGAGAGAATAATCATCATCAATCAAAGACTAATCCCGTTTCCATTGATGGAAAGCTACTAGTGAAGCTGAAATTTCCGAAAGGCGCCGAAGAAACTGAAGAGGGGCTGAGGTGGTAGTTAGCCCTGTTAAGAAGAGCCACTTCTGCCATGAATGCAACAAAGGTTTTAGCTCTGGGAAGGCTCTTGGAGGTCATATGAGCAGTGCTCATGTTCAGGCTAGAGAGAACCTCAAGAAGCTAAAATTCTATAAGTCCATCAAGTTTAAGAGAGATGGATCTAGTTCAGATGCTGCTGCAAGAGAAACTATTTGCGCAATCTGTGGAAAAGATTTTCCATCAAGGAAGTCTTTGTTTGGACATATGAGATGCCATCCTGATAGGGAGTGGAGGGGCATGGAGCCTCCTAAAGAACAAGGAAAGATCCCTCATGACCATCCTCAATGTTTTTCTAATCTTGATGATGATGAGGAGGAGGAGGAGGAGGAAGAAGACGAGTCCTTGGACACTGATAATCACGCTGATTATCATGTTGATGCGGTGGCTGATAACGTAGCTATTTCCACAGTTGCAGAAGTGGTTGATTTAACCAGGTCTATGAGCAGCTGGTCGGTGAAGGGCAAGCGAGGCGGTGAATGCCCTAGAGTTCTTCTGGATACTTATTCTGAGGAAGAAGAGCAGAAGATACTTGATGCTGTAGATCAGCTCATAAGCCTAGCTCATAAGCAGATCATACACGATGGTTCCTCGACCAGGAGAGGTCAAATCAAGGAGGCTAGGAATGGTGCTTCTGGCTTGAAGAAGAAAAGGGTTGATGATCAAGTCCATCCAGCTAGAGTTAGAAGGGATTATCCTGTGAAGAAACGACAATTTAGTGAAATAGCCACAGATTCTGAAGAAACCCTCGATGGACTATTGGACAAAGGTAAAAGAAAAGATCCAATGAAGCCTGAATCGGGTATTGAAATATCATCAAGTAGTCAATCCAGGCAAACTGTAATAGGTAAAATACATGGTAGGAGCAATTATTTCTCAGGTCATGAATTGGATAAGATGGAAGTTGGGCAGCAAAATCATTGTTTCTACAATGATTGTAAGAAGGGAAATGTGGGGGTCAAGAACAAGAGAAGGGGGCCAAAGACAACACCCAAGAATTCAGAAACAGAAGGGGAACTTACCCTCTAAATCAGAAGCTGGATGGTGAGGAGAGTACCCCAGAAAAATTTAGGTGCAGCACTTGTGACAAGACTTTCTCGTCTCACCAAGCTCTTGGGGGTCATAGGTCAAGTCACAACAAGTTCAAGGCAACGGTTCAGAACACTGCTAATGGATCTTCTCCGTTTCCTTCTGGACACGGAAATCGTGCTAAACCTGTCTCCCAAACTGCTGCTGAAAATGATGAAATTAAACGGGTAGATGCTTCAAAGTTTGCAGAAAATATTCATGAATGCACACTCTGCAAGAAAACTTTCCCTTCCGGTCAAGCACTTGGGGGTCACAAGAGGTGCCATTGGCAAGGTTTATCAAGCCAAGTTGCTTCTCCAGAAGCAGAAGAACCTCGCCCATTGGTCAGAAAAGGTTTGCAATTTGATCTGAATGAGCCAGCAGAAGAAGAAGATGCAAATGCAAGTGACTTGGGAAATTCTAGTGGATATGCTTCTTGCTCCTAACATTATGTGCTTAGTTACCCTAAATCAATTCCATGTTCTTCAGTCTCAGCTAGGCCTTAGTTTTCATTTGATTAATTTTGCTCTCTTTTTTTTTTTTTTTTTTGTCTTTTTTAAGTACATTAGAGCAATGGCTGACACTGGAATTAATTGATTATCTTTTGTGTTCTTAGAGTATTAATGCTCTTTTTTGCCCTCAGCCTTTAGACGCTGCAAATGAATGTGATTTATGTTTCATGACATTGTTGTATTTAGCTGGTGATGTACAAGAAAGACATTAGCAGATGTTAGAAGTCTATCCTTGTGTGGAGAATAGAGGATAAAGGTGCAATTTGGTTAAAACTCTATAATACGGATAATAACTTGATATATATTTATTTAATTCGACAAGGTTCATGAATATAGCGCTTCAAAAGGGAATATTCACTAATAGCTCAGAGATATTTCAGGTTCCAACTTTAGACGTACGGAATTATCTATAATGCTGTCTTGAAATAGTTTTAAAAAAAAAAAAAAACAGTGTAGAAATAGCTCAAGCACTTTCTTTTTTAATAAATGAGAGTATCAAATTTCATTTAAAAGATGGAGACTCAAGACTCCGATCAGGAGTCTCTCTCGCATGTCCCATCCTGAGATAGTCTTATTTTGTTTGAGTTTTTCGGGAGTTGGTGTTTAATTCCTAACACCTCCACATATTGCAATGTCTTGTTGATATGATCGAGGCTAAATTCCACTTTGCACCTTTAAACTACATATGTACTCTCATTTTAGTTCTTGGGTTTTAATTTTAGACAATTTACCTCTTAAAGTATGATATATATATTTCACTTTGGTTCTTAAATTTTAAATTTGATATTTAGACATTTTACATCCTAAAGTGTGAAATTTGTCCTACAGAATTGTCATGTGTTCTAAAGTTGAATTTCAAATTCAAATTTTACATAATTGTCAATCATCTAACGCTGATAGTGTAAAAAAAATTAATCCATATATATATATATATATATATATATATATATATATATATATATATGTCTCAAGGAAAGCTTATGTAGTGAAAGTCAAGTTAGCAAGTTTACAAAGTCAAATGGATTATTTACGTGAATCTTATTTCAAGATAAACGAAAATTACATATTGATTTCTAACATTCTAGTTTTTGTACTTTTCAGGAGGAATATTTGGTCCCTGCAAATAACATGTTCCAGTAAAATTGCAGATTATTTGATCAGCTGTAACTACATTCTATCGTTGTGCTACAGAAGCTTTTCACTCAAGTTTACTTGATCAAGTTGTACCATACTATTTGAAAGAGATGAAGCATAAAAAAGAATTGGTGCAAAGATTGAAGCTTGTTAGGCACTTTGTTTTTTTCTAGATCCATTCAAGTCCTATTAAATGAAAATATGGTTTTTTTTTTTGGTTTTTATAATATTCGTCTTGGCAAGTTATTATCTCAAACGGAATTTCTGAAAAGATTCTTAAGTCACCTGATTTAATTAAAGATATTAACCTGTTGATTGCAACTCCAGTTTGAAGCTTGAGACCCTCAATATAAAATTTACTAAATCATTAATTCCTTTTCAAAATATGCCTGTTCAAAGAAAAATGGAAAATTAAAAGGCATATCTCCGGGAAAGCGATTGGAGGATTCTCAAGTTATTAAAATTGCAATTGCAACAAACAGACAAAAATATAATTTGAATAATGGCTTAATTTTTTAATTTTGATCTGAAACCAAAATAGAGCCCATCAAGAAAGGAAAGAAAGTCACAAACTCTAGGGATTAAAATTTCAATGTTTTCATTTTCTTTTTACAAATGCTAGGGATTAAAATTGCAATGTTTTCATTTTTTTTTATATGTACTTATCCCTAAACCAATTTCAATTTGTTTCTGTCATATACATAATCTGAATAAATAAATGAAGAATCATCAAGGTTGGCCCAATGGCCAGGAGCTCGTAAAGTTCTTTCCATATTAGGTTTAGGGTTTGAATCTTATACTTTGTCAATCAGGGAAGAAAGGGGGTAGTAGAGAGGGGTGGGAGGGTAAAAACAAAAAAAAGAATGAAGTTATTATGACATATGACACAATTGCTTCGTATAATTCTCATGAAGGATTTCTCCTCTGCATCAAACATTGACAAAAATCTCGAGAATGCATTTAATTTAGTTTGAAGAATATAATGCACAATTAATAGTAACGATAACTGTATGACTTCCTTTTGCAATAATATAAAGTATAAATCATATTTATGGCCAAAAAATGAATCATATTTAAGTTAAGAATATCAAATTAGGAATGGATCTCATGACACTTACCAACATTAGTTAATAAATTACTAGACACGTGAAATTTGATGCATGCACATATTATACGAAATTTATTTTCCAGGAAAGTATGATATAAGGTGTTCAAGAGAAAGAACATACAAATATAGTGCATATGTAAATTGATTAATCTTTCCTATATTGACAGTATATATACTTTCAGTATTGGATGAATGACAACTATGCAAAATTTGAATTTAAAATTCAACATTTGCATACATATCATGAATTAAACGGTGATAGTGTATATGACGGGGTTTGGGTTATAAGTGCAAACTTAATTCCAATTTATACTCGTTAACTGCAAGTATACAGGCCAAATTAGTAGTTTAGGGCATTAATCGGGTCGATCCCACGAGGAGCAATGTCTACAAGTACTAGGTCCTTATTTCTCTATTATTATAGACTTATAATGAGATTGAGTAGAAAAATTATATTGTGCTACTGTCTATAATCTGATTTAATAAATGCAAGATACAATTGGAGAAAAATTTCACTAAAGATTAAATCTAGGGATGTAGATTCCACTTATGACACAAAAGATTTAAATGAATGAATTTAACATTTGTTACTACTCTTGTTTAACCAGGGATTCATTTCCAAAAATACAAAAATCTCATTTTCATGATAATAATGGTCTAGAACAGTTTGGTTTTTCCTAATCTCTGGTAAATAACTAACTCTGTTCTTGTTCATGCATGAAATGCAGATTTCATCCACTTGAATGTATTTCTATTTTCATGAATTTACAACTCAAGCTCTACTTATGTTATTCCATTGTTTTTACCATTTCTCAATGAGTAATACAACTATAAACCTACTCTTGGTGATCAAACAACAACAAGTAATCAAGCATGCACAAGTAGACTAGTTAATACAAGATATAACAAGTGTAAATCACATTCAATTCATATCACTTGGCGATAAGTTTCATCTACTCCTTAGATATAGAAATTTAACTACTCATGGATGATATAACAATGAAACTAATAACTTCATTAACAGAAAATATCTTAAGTACAAGTACAAGAAAGATAAAGAAAAGCTTAGCCAAGTTAATGGTGAAACCCTCCAAACTCTGCTATGAATTGCACTAGATGATTACAAGATGAAGTCTCCAAGTGCTCCTTGCAATATTTTCTAGCTAGAGAGAATTTTTACAAGAATAATGCTAGCTACGTATGGTCTCCCTGACTTCCCTTTCATTTTCTGCATAAAAAGATGGTAGAAAGTGCCCCTTTTTTTTTTCTCTCCTCATGATTCCAATATCTCAGATTTGTTAAGAAAGTCAAAAGAATTGTTGTTTTGACTTGACAATAAATCATATTGTCTTTCTTTTTGCTTCAGTAGCATGTGCCACCGAATTCTCTCACCAAAGATAGCTGGAAAGTTATGCGAAAAGAAAGAAAAACGGCTGAGCCACTTGCAGAGGAGAGATGCAGATCCAATGCCTTGGATCCGAGGAATGCAGTTGGATCCGAGCTCGGATCCTAGCTGATCTGAGGCCTTTTTCACATGGATCCGAGCTCGGATCGACTGACCTTGGATCCACTGCTTCAGAAGCATAGACGAGGACTAGGATTTCCTTGGTCCACATGGATCCGTGCTCTTCAATTTCTAGATTTTCAATTCCTTCCTTTTTTCTTCATTTTGCTCATAGTTTCTTTTGTACTTTATCTTCCAGAGGATCCTTACTTATTCTTTATCTCATACATGAATTTCATATATCAATATCCTTCAAAGTATCACAAATTAAAGAATTAATCCACTCATTTATCAAGTTTTGAACACTTAAACAACATTTAAGCAATCACCACCAAAAGAGTTCAAATATGACTTTAATCTTCTCAAAACATACCAAAAGTTCATGCCAAACTTGTACAAAATGTACGTTAAATATTCACTTATCAATATATCTTTTTTTTTGTTCCAAAAACGATAGATAGATTTATTGATAGGAAAAAAGCATTACACTCAACAACATAATTGGTTAAAATTTCCCAGTTGATAATGGGTCTGCGTTGAGTTTAGACCAAGCCTAAGCCTTTGGAAAATTTCAGCAATGCAATTGCCTCTCAAATTCGAATACCTCTCAAAGAATCCAAAAAAATGTAGAGATATTTGAGGCAATTTCAAATGTTTCTTCAAATATCTCCATCCAAACCAACCATTGTTGATATCTTTGATTAACAAGAAGGAGTTGCCAAATTTGAGAAGCCCAACCACATGACCTTATTGCATTAAGGGATAAATCCGAGTAATTAGCACGGCTCTTAGTTACAACATTGCCATCAACAATAACAGCATGGACCGGAATAGAATTAACAATATCAAAACACAAAACTCAACTTGTCGACCAATTGATAGTTTATTATATTAGTGCAACTTCCACCATAGGGTGGAGAAATCATTTTTGCATCGAGCATTTATTTAAACATTTTACATCCACTTTCAATCCATTTTGGCAACATGCGATGTGTATTCCCTCTATGGGTACTATTGTAACTAGTGCTAGAGGCATACCTAGCGTTGTTCACGAATCGAATCGCTCCTTCCATGGGTATTATTAAGCTAGTTATCTTGATAATTAAGAATTAATGGATAAAATTAATGCCAAATTAACTAAAAGTTAATGGATAAAGTTAATACCAAATTAACTCCAAAGACGCTTTATTATTGTGTAGATAGCTAGGTCGGTCCTCTTGGCCGCAACCCTTTAAACTAAGCATTCCAATTCTCCATTTTTCCAATACCCTTTTACTGGATGATCCCTAAATTAGCTCAACTGCACCAGCACCTCAACGCCCCCTTGTCAGATCTACATTAAAAGACCGTCAAATTATTGAACCAAACTTCCTTCCTTGTAACAGCAACAGGACAACCATTTGGATCTCCAATCCTGTCTGCAAATGAATCTACTACTACCCACAAATTATTTTATTTAATTAGGATAGACTACCCATTCTGTCTAATAAAAGTGTAATGAACCAATGAGTGAAATTTATTCTACAGCCAAAGATAAACATAATTGTCCAAACGCAATTTGCATCCCAAATCTTCTCATCTTTGCTGCACCACCAAACACATGCCAAAGTAACTTTCACCAACATCAGGCTACCAATCTTCTCCCCGGCCAGCACTTTACTTTTTCTGTGGTGGCAACAATATTTGCCAAATGAAACAGGCAGTAGATCATCTAACAACCAAAAAAGGCAATTGTAATCTCCAAAACAGGTTTCTCATTTCATTGATTCTCTCTCTCTCTCTCTCTCTCTTTAAGGTTAGGGACATGTTTAATTTCACAAGACGCAAATTACAATTGATGTCCATTATTTTTTTTATTTTTATTTTTATTTTTGCTCTCCCTATTTACAAACTATAATCTGGAAGGGAAAATGGATGCGTCACTGAGGTAGCAGACTTCTTCAATCTTAAACAAGACTGCATTCAGCCATCAGAGGTATAGACAACCCTATCCAGATCCTATGTACAATATCACTATCACATTCAAAATGGATCACGAACTTGCTTGCAAAACTGTTACAACTGGCTTTCCAAAATTGATGATGTCAGACAACTGAAGCTGCAACCTGTCACGCCTGACAACTAGCCATCCTCTTTTACTGCTGGAAACTTCCCTTTGGTATGCTTGAAGTCGTCCAAACTACGATATTCTTCCCTTAGCAATCTATCCAAATCTGGGTGCCTCTTTAAAGGAGATCTCTCACCATGCTCCTCACGGTAATGGTGAAGTGCCCTGCAGAAGACAAAAAGCAGAATAATATTAACTGTGTTGCAACATCCAGTGTAAGATTGCCTAACCATGGCAGACAAACTGAAAACTCTTGAAACTAACAAGCAGAATTTTATTCAATCGCTATGTCATGCTAGATGTTATATGCTCCATAAATGTAAGATTCGAGAGCAACGCAGGCTCTTCAAGTCAAAAGTTGCTCATTCTTTTTCAATTCCAGGAGCATGTAAAATTGTAGATAATCCCATTACTCTACCTTTTTCTTACTTTTTTGGTTTGGGGGCATAGGAGATGCGGATTAAAGAAAGACACAGCAAAAGCACAAAAAGACGTACCAATACTTTTCCAGACCGTACAGACTGCCTTTATTGTAGAAGTCGAGCGTCAATTGTTCAAAGTCTGCATAGAGGTCCTCCCTAAACTCCTTCTCCAAACCATAACTGCAAATTTGAAAAAAAAAAAAAAAAAAAATAGAGAGCAAAGGGAAGTGTCCACCGGAGTTTAGATGGAGCATATACAATGCTGAATCAACTAGATACGTCGGGTTTAAGGCCAAGAGAGAAAGCATGGACTGAAGATGTCATTTGATGTCCATCAGAAAAGGTAGCTGATAAATCATACCTGTAGAACCTGAACAGGCACTCCATTCCGTAATTATAATTTGCAGCAGCATCTTCTAGTGCCAATTTTCGGAATTCATTGTACATAGATTCTACAAATATGCTTCTTAAAAAGTATGACCAAAACCTATAAAGAGTATTCATTTCCTGCATAAAAAGAAAGCAGCTGTCCTTCAGATATCATAGCATGCACAGAAATAATGGTATATATTATGAGCTTGCATCACATAAATAAAAAGGGATGGACTTGGTGAAACATGAACTGATGTAAATGGTCAAATCAAAGAAACTGCATCATGAGCATGTACCAAAATCTCAGTAGTTCTTGCAACTGAACATCTTGTAAATATCATAGCATAATTTATCAGAAGCACTATTGTACTCCCTCTAGGTCATTTAAAGAGTGCCCCATTATCTGCAATATCTTAAACTATCTTGCTTTCATAAGATAATCCATGTGTAACTCAAATGAGAAAAAACAGTCAGCAGCATGACGAAGAAAAACATGGCACACACAATAAAAAGGTAAAGTCGTAAGAATGGTGGATTTCATGGAAGAAATCATATAATACAGACATTTCCACTTAAAATGAAGAGGCACAGAATCTGTCAAAAAACAATTTAATGAGATATGCATCAAGCTTAAGTATATGTATGTCTACCCAATCAGTAGTAGACATGAAAGATGATGAAAATGCATACAAACATGTGTTGAATGTTCACGACAATATAAATATCTATAACTATGACACAGCAACACAGACACATATTACCAACCTACACATATACAGATATTTCTGCCATACAGCCAATTATTTATTTAATCGGTCCACCAAATGATGTAAGTTCCATGTCAACCAGTGCATACTGTGTCATATTATGTCCTCAGTCTACATCTACCAAACTGGCGAAAGGATGGCTTTACTCAAGTGTGCAGATACACAAACATAACATGCACATTGAAACATCAATTAGTATTTATTTCCCTTTCACCACCAAGGTCTTCTGATGCAAGTGTATATACTTAAAAGGTCTGCTGCTTTGTTATGACACCTAGATTGAACATTGTCATTTATAATATTGCTACTCATGTATTCTTTATAAATATTTTAACAAGGGCATCAGTTAATATGTTCTCTTCCAAGGACTCAAAATGTCCCACCTACAATGGTCAATAAAGATAAGCTTATAGCATTATATCATTGAAATGGAAATAAAAAGCTCAGGAAGAGCTAAAAATCATTGAATGACATGGAAAAAAAAGGCTAGGAATAACAATCTTTCAAAAAATATAACATATTAAATTTCATTATTTGTGTAATCTAGTATACTATAACTGTTTAGCAGCAATTACCAGATCTATAATTTTAACAATTTCTCCTTTAAGCCTCATACATTCTTCTTATCCTATTTCTTAGCAACCTGACAAGCAGGAAAGTCAAACATCTAGGAGTATAGAGCTGGGATCTGTTTGAGTCTTTTAATTGTTCTACTTTCATGAAATGCCTTTGCCTTTTGTTACATTTTTTTGGAAGTATTTGGTGATTTATTTATTTATTTATTTTTCTTTATAAAACAATAGTAAAACTTGGAGCTCCATATGAGGCAGTGCCAAGAGGGAAAAAGAGAGGGTTGATAGGATTTAGTATGGATTTATTATAAGGTAGGAAGAGGGAAGGGAGGATTGCAAGGTGTTTGAAAGTGAGGGTGTTTCTTTGATTTTTTATATTTTTAAATTTGAGTTGGCTGTAATTCTCACCTATTTAATTTTTTTATATAACCGTAGATACTTCTTTCCTTGCCTTTATTCTATTAGAGTTTTGTTCGTCAATTCAAAGACCAGATGGAAGATATTCATTCGCTTCATTTTGTGGTGAAAAGGTAGGTTTAATCCCATGATCTTAAATTTTTTTCATTTTTATTACATTTTCCTTTTCTTGCTCTCTCAATTTTATTTATCATTTTCTATTTATCACTAATCCATTCGGGTAAAATTTTTTTTTTCTTTTAATATATCTAATGTCAAATTATAAGGGTGCTAAATACAATTACGCTCTAATATCACAAAGCATAGTTTTTTCCTCACAAAAGTCTACCTACTTGAAATGAACTTTAAAGTCACTATTCTGGAAGTTGCTTCCTTATTTTTGAGAAAAAGAATAAGCCAATCAATTTTTTTTAAAAAAATATGAACGAGAATTACAATGTATTAGGTTTCATAGTGTGATAATAGGACAAAAGTGCTCTCATGCATTTCACGTGAACTCTATTTGAAATTACACTCTCGTGCCTATCATGTGGACTTTTTTCAATAATGCACTATCTTACATGTAATATGGGCTGCAATTCATTATTTTAAATGGCTAAAATTAATATGTTTAACATGGACTTTCATGTTTTAAAAAGGACTCAACTATAAGGCTAAGTGATATATAGTACATGTTACTTTACAAAAATTTAATTTCTGTATATATATATAAATTATTTGTCGAGTGATCTAATTTTCTTGTAAACTTCAATGGTGATATAAAATTGTGAAACATTTCAAGTAATATTTTTTCAGAGTGCATTTTAAATTTGGAAAAGAGAGGTTTTCTCCTTTCTTGGCAAATGAATCAATTATTGATCATTCTTCTTGGCAAATGAATCAACTAATGATCCTTCATAATGAAGTGATCCTAGTTCTCTTGCAATAAACAATACCCTTTCAATATAGAATGATTTCGATCGAAATTCACACATGTTAGTTACTGGTATTTTGTGGAGTCCATATGGTTTAATTTTTGGTTCATATGTAGGAAACAAACTTCCTTTCTAATATATGTGTTCCACATATTTATTCTATTAAAATTTGATCTCTTACCCCCCACTATAGTAGGCTTTGCATACTGAAAAATACATTGTGTAGTTGTATTTTACTAATAGTAATTAATTACTTTTAAAAACAATTGAGAGGTATAAATATCTATTGTCTTCTCTCTTTTTGATATTCTAAATGTGGTCAGTTTCTAGCATTGACTTTAACTACGCAAATCGATTGGGATGTGTAACTGATCTTGCATTCTTTTCATCATATAATTTAGTTCTCCTGATAATCGGTTGAGAGGACAAACTCATACAGATTCAAATATTAAAAAAATTAAGCTCCAATAGTTTACTGATAAGAGAAAACTAGCAACTTATCTACTCACTTTTTAGCCAAATGCGGAACAGTATCACATGGCTCAAAGCAACATACATTTGAATATCATGGTGCCCCAATATATTCGTTATGTCCTCATACAAAAGAAGATCCAAAAAGAATTTCTACTTCTTACCACTAATGACTTTCTCTTTCCATGTGTTGTAATTGTTTTGCACTTGGTTTAGTCTATGTCTTCTTCTTCTTTCTTTATCTTTTTCTGATTAATGCTTTGCATTTTGTATTTTTTATATTAACAAATGATGGGATAAAAGCATGGTTGTTTTATTTTATGGTAACAAGGGTTGTCATTGGTGCATTGATGCACCTGGTCATTCTTGAATAAAACTGCATTGAGTGCTGATAGTAAAAGGTAAGTATTGGATTATAGAATTACAATTTGATGATTCTCTGTTTTTATGTCAACTTTAAAACCTTTTTAGGTTATTTTCTTGTGACACAAATGAAGAGGGTATCAATGGTTATGGCATTACCTTTAGAATATGCTTGAAGATTTCTGAATAAGGTAATTACAATCATTCTGTAGTGATTTTTCTCATCAATATAGTGATTATTTCTTTCAATGTGCATCTTCTTCTACAATGCCACCAAGAACTTGTACTACTCTTTCCCTCGCCATTTCTCTACCAATATTAATTATCACTCTTCCACCTCTGCATTTGTCTTATTCTAGATAGTGACCCAAACACATGTTCCAACTCAAAGCTGGAATTTAGGTGTCAATTACCTAAAAGGCTTAGCGAAGAATGTTCAACATTGTATGACAGTGAACTCATTAGTGACTAGCATTGACTTTCATTTTTACAAAAGAACTCTCCTATGAGTTTCATTAACAACACAAGTTACTTTACCAACATTTATTTTCTGCAATTAAGTATTATTGATATATATTGATCTAATTTTTCATTTGGAAACTTCAATGTTGACATAGAATTGTAAGACATTTTTACAAAGTAAATTTTGTTTGAAATATATTTATGATCTAAAAGAAAGAGTCTATCTCCATGATCTTATGGTAAATAAATTAATTTCCAATCATTATTCATCATTTATATATTTGATCATCTTATCGCTTAGCTTGCAATCATTTATTTCTCTAAATACAAATCCAAAAGAGCCTTAATATTTAACCATTAATGAGAATGAGTATGATGCCAATTGATTGGTTTTTTAACTCATACTTTTACACATTTTTCCAATCAATAACATAACTAGTAATGAATTACAGATTTGTATATATTTAAATTGAAAAGTAGAAGGAAATATACAAAGGATAGCTATAAGTATTCGCATCTCTCACACAATTAGTTAGTGATTTTTCACTAAACAATTGTTAGAAAATGAATTCCATTAAGACATTTTAGTTCCAGAAATTTAAATAACCTTAATTTATAACAACCAACTAAATATGCAAGAACTCTACTTGCAATCCAACTAATTGGCTCAAAAAAGCAAGTGAGTATAACTTGTGATATAACATTTATCAAATGCATATTCCACATTACAAATATGAACAATTCCATATGTTTACCTAATGATATGGCCACTAATGTCAAACAAATGATGAATCAAGTTTACCTCAATTAAAAATTTAACCATTAAATGCTTATGATATGGAACCAAATGCAAAATATATAGATTCTTAAAATTATTATATGTTATGAAGCCGTTACAGATATTTTTGACATTTTGCTCAAATAAAAAACTTAATGCTGTTGAAATGCAGGGGTAAATGTCAAATAACTAAGGACCCACTTGGATGGTATATTTTTTGACTGTTTGTATAAAATTTTGCTGTAACTTACTGTAAATATTGTAAAAAACTTTTATGTATTTAAGATTTGAAAAAATTGAAAACTTTCTCTTTTTTTCCCTTTTCTTTTCCTTTCTTTTTTTTTTTTTTTCCTTCTTTCCTCTTTCTTCTTCCTCCCTATAGTAAACCCTTTCTTCCCCCGCTCTTCCATCC